GTAAAATATCAGTTGCTGATATCAGGCACTGGAGAATACCTGTAATCCCAGTGGCTTGGGAGGCTGAGGCAGGAGGATCACAAGTTCAAAGCCAGCCTCAGCAACTTAGCAAGGCCCTGTCTGTAAATAAAATATTTTTAAAAGGTGACAGGGAGCTGGGGATGTGGCTCAGTGATTAAGCACCCCTGGATTTAATTCTCGATTCAAAAAAAAAAAAGACGCTGCCTTGAGTATTAGCTAGTAGTAGGCGCAAAGGTGAAGAGAGTGGATAATATATATTGAGCATAAATGAAATAGATGGATTGGTCATATTTTCTTTAGGTTTAAATATATAAAATACATTTTTAAAGAAATGCCGCCGCTGCTGCCCCCACCCCCAATGCTGGGGTGTAAATCCAGGGCCTTTCATATTCTGGGCAAGTGCTGTACTGCTGAGCTACACTCCTAGACCAAGAAATGCGCGCTCTCTCTCTCTTTCTTCGCGCTAGGGATTGAACTCAGGGTTGCTTTACTACTGAACCACATTGCCAGCCCTTTTTATTTTTTGTTTTGAGACAAGATCTCACTAAGTTGTTGAGGCTCACTTTGAATTTGATCCTCCCATTTAAGCTTTACCATCTGTTGGAATTACAGGGGTGTGTCGCCACACTGGCTTTCTAATGTTTTTGTTGTTGGTTTTTGGCAGGGGGGCAGGTACCAGGGATTGAACTGTGCCCCATCCCCAGCCCTATTTTGTATTTTGTTTAGAGACAGGGTCTCACTGAGTTGCTTAATGCCTTGCTTTTGCTGAGGCTGGCTTTGGATTTGAGATCCTCCTGCCTCAGCCTCCCAAGCTGTTGGGATTATAAGTATGCACCACTGTGCCTGGCCTCTAATATTTTATTTTTGTAGTTGTAGCTGTACATGATACCTTTATTTTTTATTTATTTATCTTTATGTGGTGCTGAGGATCAAACCCAGGGCCTCATATGAGATTTTCAATTTGTTTGCTCAGCCACCTACCAGAGAAATGCCTTGGCCTAAACAGCCACAAGATTTTGGTTGGTTCTGTCCATGTCAAAGTATATTTGGGGGGATTGGGGTTGTGGCTCAGTGGTAGAACGCTTGCCTTGCACGTATGAGGCACTGAGTTCAATCCTCAGCACCACAAAAAAATAAATAAAGGTATTTTGCCCATCTACAATAAAAAAAAATTTTAATTATATTTTGGAAGGGTGTGGGGAAATTGGTAAATGTAAACACTGGGTATCAGTTGTCATCATGCTTGCTGCATATTATTGATTGCATGTGAGTTGTAGGCAGATGTTAACTCATCTGCACCAGAATGCTTTGAAAGTCTCCTGTATTGTTCAGTGGGGGAGCTGTTATCACCAGTTAAGGAATACCTGAATTATTGCCATCATCTAGTGACATTTGACTTTTCCCTCCTGTGATTTGGTGTAATGAGACTGTTTTCATCCTTTCTCCTTGATTCTTAGCATTCTGGGGCTCTAGAGGCAGAGCGTTGGGGCCCTGTTTACCTTAATGAATGCTAGCTTTCTGTGGATAGTCCTTCATCTAACATGTTTCCTAAACCCTCAGCCCACAATTACATATAAGGTAGTGAGAATTCAGACCTGTGACATCCATTATGGACTCAAATGACAGGGCTCCTGTGTGGGTATTTAAGAGTATTCTGGGTTATGTCCGAGGTGTTGTCTTTGGGCTTGAGGTTTTAATGTTGTTGTTTTTTCCCTGATCCCTTTTTGTTGACAAGTTGCTGTAAACCATTAGATTAGTTTTTAGTGTACCCTAGAATCTACTTTTTTTTAATCGAATGAATATTAATTGGCGGTTTCATTCTTCCGTGTGTCTTGGTGAGAAGACCTAGGCCTTGAAGTCCAAGTCCTAACTCTGCCTCTTAGTGGCAGTGTGACTTGGTTTTCTTGCTTACTGATCCTGAGATTCTGCCTCTATAAAATGAGGCAGAATTGTCTACCTTCCTGAAAGGTTAGAGGAGTCTGATATCCTAGCTGAATCCTGTGTTTCTTGTAAACACTGCTGTAAGCCTTGAGTGCATAGCCAAGTCCTTGCTGTCTTAGGAGTTGCTCTCCTAGGAAATAATGGAATGATTAAATTTTTAACATGAGCCAGGTACTACTTCATGGCATACACACACACACATCCACACATCACATTTAATTCTGTCAACCCCAGGCAGCAATTATTATTGTTATTCCTATTTTGAGAAAACTGATTCTGAGAAAAATTAGTTGTGGAGGAAGTAGGATTTGAATTCAGACTATCTGGCTCTGGAGGAGGCAGCTTTTTTTTTCTTTTTTTCCCTTGAGGTACTAGGGATTGAATCCAGGGCCTTACTCATGCTAGCAAGCAGTCTTCCACTGATGTAGCCTGAGCTACATCCCTGACCCTTATTATTTTGAGATAAAATCTTAGTGAGTTGCCTAGGCTGGCTTGACCTGTGCTCCTCCTGCCTCAGGCTCTTGAGTCACTGGGATTATAGGCACCCGCTACAGCCCAGTGCAGAGTGGTATGCACCTGTGATCCCAGCAATTTGGCAGGAGGATTAAAAGTTCATGGCTAGCCCCAGCAACTCAGCAAGGCCTTCAGTGACTTAATAAGACCCTGTCTCAAATTTAAAAGGCTGTGGATGTAGCTTAATGGTAAAGCACACCTGGGTTGAATTCCTAGTACAAAAAAAAAAAAAAAAATGGAGAGGTGTGCACTTCACTTAGTTTGGAGGCAGCATTTTAAACCAAGACATTCTGCTCCCTTTCGGCTATATAAGACAATGACATTCATGCTCAGAATATCAAGTACATAGGGATTTCTCAAACCTGAGCCATTTGCACTGGTACATACCTATAATCCCAGTGACTTGGGAGGCTGAGGCAAGAGAATTGAAAGATTGAGGCCAGCCTCAGCAATTTAGCAAGACCCTGTCTCAAAATAAAACAGAGTGGGAATCTAGTTTGGGGCAAAAGCACCTCTAGGTTCAATCCCAGTACCAAAAAAAAGAAGCAGCAGCACCTGTTTCAAGCCAGACATTGAAGTATACAAGTCGTTATTCCTTAGCTACAGGCAGCTTTCATCTCAGAGTTGCCCTAGCTGTGTATTTTGTCATGAATAATTATAAAATTTTTATATTCCCTTAGCCTAAAGTGACAAATTGCTTGTGTAGAAACAATGTCATTGCAAATGGATATGTAGCTATCTAATTTTAAAGGTTGTAGAATTTATAACCAAAATTGTATGTTGTAGAGCAGTGCCTAAAAAGACAGTTGTGGGCCGGGTGTGGTGACTCATGCCTGTAATCCCAGTAATTTGGGAGGCTGAGGCAAGAGGATCACAAGTTTGAGGCCAGCCTTGGCATCTTAGTGAGATCCTGTCTCAAAATAAAAACTAAAAATGACAGGTTGTAGCTTAATGGTAAAGTGCTGAATTCAACTCCCAGTATTTAAAAAAAAAAAAAAGATAAGCCATTGCGACTGGAGGTGTAACTCATTGGTAGAGTCTTGCCTAGTATGTGTAAAGCCTTAGGTTCCACTCCCAGACCACAAAATAATAAATAAATAAATAAAAATGAAAGAAGAGACAGTTACGGCCAGAGAGTTCCAATTACTCTGGAGGTTGAGGCAGGAGGATTGTTCAAGCCCAGGAGTTCAAGGTTAGCCTGAGCAACAAGAGATCACTGTCTCAAAAACATGGGCTGGGGTTGTACTCAGTGGTTCAGTACAACACTTGCTTAACACATGTGAGGCACTGGGTTTGATCCTTAGCACCACATAAAAATAAATAAAGGTTTTGTGTCTGTAATCTACAACTTAAAATAAAAAAAGTTATGTGATACATGTCCAAATTTCAGAGAAAATACAAATGTATATGGCTAAAGCAATAACAAATAAAAGGACTTGAGAAGAAACTATAATTTTCTGAAGTCCTCAGAATTTTACAAACTCCGTTGTTATCAACATTGAAATACCTAGGATTTATTTTTCTGATTCTGCTTAAGGTTGTTACTTTTCAGACAACAGAAAAAGGACCTTTCGCTTTTTAAGGGAAAAAAATTTTAGTAGAAATACATTCCTTCCTCCCCTCACATCATCAGATGGGATGCCCTGGTCCCCTAGTCTATGTGATGCTGCATTTTGTTAAACTGGGTGGCTTCGTATCTCTTTGCCTGGCTATGACAGGGCAGAAATGGCTACCTCACAAAAGGACTGTGAAGCTTGGGTCATTTGTGTAAATAAAGGTTTCCAGTAGGTTGCAAGGGGTTTTTTTTGTTTGTTTTTTGATTTTTGGTTTTTTTTTTAATATGGTCTTGAAAGGATAGAGATGTATAGAAATTGGAGAGAGTTCAGAGGGGAACCAAAGAAAATGAGGGAGGGGTTAATAAGGGAAAGCTGTGTAGACAAACAGGTGGGAGCCTTGTGTTAGAGGGTGTGCATTTTTCAGAATGACAGCTAATAGCTTTTCATCTTCACTCTTGTCTGAGACTGAAATTACACAGATTTAAGTTAGTGATGAGAAAAATGCTAAAAGGATGTGGTTAACAAGGAAAAGCCTGAAAGTTCCTCTGAAGTTCTTTAAAATTAGGATGGTTCAATTTGGAGCCTCTGAAAAAGGTAGAGAAAGCAACCTAAGCCTGACGGTTAGGGGCGGTCTTGCAGTTGTTCTTGAAATGTTCTCATCCTCAGCATGTGCATGATGGCTCTGCTCTTCTGCCCTGGGGTGTCCTAAGAAAGAGGGAGCAGCTTATTTCCTGCCGCTGTCCTTGGTGGCCATAAACTTAATAGAACTACTTTAGGAAAAATTTAGAGGTCTGTGATCTAGAACTCAAGGTCTCTTCTAGCCCTCTTGGTCTATAAACCTTATTGACCATACGTCCTGGAGGCAAGTGGAAAAGAGAATTTGATAACTCTTACCTGGCCCATGTGGACTCTTTTGTTCTCTTCTTTTAACCATTCAAATTTGTACTTAACTGTTTTCTTTTGGGTTAGGATTCTGCAGTATTCCAGACCACGAGCACCAAATCAGGATGGGAAAAAGACGCTGTGTTCCTCCACTTGAGCCCAAGTTGGCAGCTGGCTGTTGTGGGGTCAAGAAGCCCAAATTATCTGGAAGTGGAACTCATAGTCACGGGAACCAGTCCACAACTGTCCCCGGCTCTAGTTCAGGACCTCTCCAAAACCACCAGCATGTGGACAGCAGCAGTGGACGGGAGAATGTGTCGGACTTAACTCTGGGACCTGGAAACTCTCCCATCACACGAATGAATCCCGCATCGGGAGCGCTGAGCCCTCTTCCCCGGCCCAATGGAACTGCCAACACCACTAAGAATCTGGTGGTGACTGCAGAGATGTGCTGCTATTGCTTTGACGTACTCTACTGTCACCTCTATGGCTTCCCACAGCCACGACTTCCTAGATTCACCAATGACCCCTAGTGAGTAAATTAGGTGCAGGGGACACTAAGGAGGGGATGATGGGATCTTCTGAGGTCATTTTCTTTATAGAGTGTCTGCTGCTTAAAAAAAACTGCAACACCATTTGAGTAAAGGGGAGTGATGAGAAATGTCCAGATACTATTTAGAACAATTAGTGGATTCAGTAATGGAAAGAGGCTATGTTGTATTTGAAGTAGGTTTAAGTTTATTGTTACAGTAATGTTCTGGAAATCAGAAGCATTTCAATCTTGACTTTTCTGTTCATGTGGCAGTGGGTAGTCATTTAACCTTTTGCATAGAAAAGTGACATCATCATACCATCCTGTTAAAGTCCAAGTGAATTGGGACTGTCTGTGGGCCAGGCAGGAATCTAGGAGCTCTCATTCATTGAAAGCTAATGTTCTTAATAAGGGACACCTCCACTGTATCATCTACAATATCACAGTATCCTATAGGGCCACTGACATCCCATCAGGGAAACTCAGAATCAGCTTTACTGGATTTTACTTCAGGGCTATTGTTTGTTCTAAGACCTCTAAAGGTGTCCATGATTTCAATGAGCTGTGAGTGTGTTGTGTGCATTTACTTACTTACTTACTTTATTATTTCGGGGGCAGGTACCAGGTATTGAACCCAGGGATGCTTAACCACTGAGCCATATCCTCAATCTTTTTATTTTTTGAGACAGGATCTTACTAAGTTGCTTAGAGCCTCAGTAAGTTTCTGAGCCTGGTTTCAAATTTGGAATCCTCCTGCCTTGGCCTCCTGAGTTGCTGGGATTACAGGCTTGCACCACTATGCCTGGTTAATGAGCAGTATTTCTAAAGTACAAATAAACAGGAATAAACTCATACTGCTGTCTTCTCTCTCAAAACTGGAAATAGCTGGGCTGAGGTATAGCTCAGTAATAGAGTACGTGCCTAGCATGCATGAGGTCCTGGGTTTGATTCCCAAAACCACAAAGGAAAAAAAAGAATGAATGAATGAACAAGCAAGCAGCTCTGAGCTAACTTTGAAAAGCACCAGTGCTTTTGGATTTTTGTTTTTAGGGAGTGCTTTTGGAGCATTCATTAATATAAGATCATGTCTCAACTTTTAATGCCATGCTAAGGCTGTACAGAGCTCTGGGCAGCAAGTTGGGGTGGGGGGTATAAAGAAAAGGGTCTTGCCCTCAGGAGGCTGGTCATTGAGTTGGTGAATCACACAGAGAGAAATAGTAGTTACTCCTGTATATGAATCAGAGTGAGGAAATGTGGAGAAAAAAAATGTGCTGACTTTTTAGGGATGTCTTGCCATAAGGTACTATGATCAGGAAACTCCCGAGGGAGCCAGGGTGCAGTAGTGCATTCATTCCTGTAATCCTAGTGGCTTGGGAGACTGAGGCAAGAGGATCGCAAGTTCACAGCCAGTCTCAGCAACAGTGAGGCACTAAGCAACTCGGTGAGACCCTATCTCTAAATAAAATACCAAATAGGGTGGGATGTGGCTCAGTGGTTGAGTGCCCCTGAGCTCAATCCCCAGTACCAAAAAAAGAAAACCAATCTGAACAGGTGTAGATCCTAATCCTGGTTAAGATATAGGTGTCCTGTATAGGAAAGGAATTTGGGATTGGTAGCCTCAAGTGTAGGATTTAGTTCAGAGCTTCAGGTTCTGTATTTTTACCCTGTGGGTAGTAGAGGTATTGAGAAGGTTTTGAGTAGGTTTGAGGATAGTAGCTTTGTCTGATACTGTGCAGGTGCTTTATTGGAAGGAAATGGTGGAAAATCTACTGGAATCCTTTGTAACAATGATCAAAGAAGTAGATAACTAAACATTCAGGTTGCATTTGAGAAGCGATTAACTCAATAGTCTAAAGAGGTAATAGCCTTCAGAATGTGAAGGGATCACACACACACAAAAAATCTTCACAATCAATCTGATAAAAGCTTTGGCCTAGGAACAAAAAAGGAACTTCTGTTAATAAAAAGCTTTCTTTTTTTTTTTTTTTAAAGATAGAGTGAGAGAGGGAGGGAGGGAGAGAGAGAGAGAGAGAGAATTTTTAATATTTATTTTTTAGTTCTCGGCGGACACAACATCTTTGTTTGTATGTGGTGCTGAGGATCGAACCCGGGCCGCACGCATGCCAGGCGAGCGCGCTACCGCTTGAGCCACATCCCCAGCCCCATAAAAAGCTTTCTTGAGAAGGCATTTTCTTTTCTGAAAATTTATGAACAGGAAAAAATTGTTGTTGCCAGGGGCAGTTATAATTATGGGAACAACACGGGCTTGCAGAGAATTCTTGCAAATAAAGGAGGCCAAGAGGATGCAGAGAAAGGTGTATCATTATGAAAGATGGGGCTGGGTGATGTGGCTACCCATAAAAAGAGAGTACATGAGGAGAGAATATGGAGAATTAGAAGGAAAAGTTGAATTCTGGGCAAAGAAGAGGAAAATAGCGCATAAATTTGTCAGAGTGAGTGGAAACTCTCAGTTTGGAGTATAGGAAAGGTTGTTCAGAGAGCCTTTCTTCAGGAAAGTTTTCTGTTTCTAGCCAGAACTGAACAGCTTACAGAAAGCCAGAGTTCTCCAGGTAACTGGCAGTTCAGAAAATGCTTTTGGGCAGTAACAGAAAGAAACATTATCCATGATTAATTTGGGGCTGGACAATGTTTTTTGGTTTTTTTTTTTTTTTTTTAGTCCCCTCTTTGTGACGTGGAAGACAGGGCGGGACAAGCGTCTTCGTGGCTGCATCGGGACTTTCTCAGCCATGAATCTTCATTCAGGACTCAGGGAATATACGTTAACCAGGTAATGACACTGGGCATTAAGAACTGTATACAAATTGTCTAGAATTGGAAACAAATTGCCTGACTTCCATTCTTCTAAGTGATACATTTTAAGCATTCCTTTTTTGGTAAACAGAAAATGTAAGGAACTTTATCTGGTGAGTCACTATCAATTCCTATATAGACAGCTAATATTAACATATTAATATTGATGGATGGTAGATGCTGTCTGTATGTGTCAGGATTCATGACTATGTGAGCTCTGTGGCATGTAATGTCTGTCAACTCCAGAGCAACCTCACTTATGTTTTCTGTCCCCCTCCAGTGCACTTAAGGACAGCCGATTTCCCCCCCTGACCCGAGAGGAGCTGCCTAAACTTTTCTGCTCTGTCTCCCTCCTTACTAACTTTGAGGATGCCAGTGATTACCTGGACTGGGAGGTGAGAACAGCCGCATTTGGAACTCTGCATCTCTCGTTGCATTTGGGTTCGGGTTAGTACATGGTAATGTATCTCCTTTATTGAGAGGGTCTAAGAATGTGAAAGCTGAGTATGGAACCAAATATGGGCAACATAGGTGACAGAAAAAGTGCTGCTCAATTAGGAGTAAGAGGAAATGTAAATGTAAAGGCTTTCTTCTGCTGGACACAGTGGCACATACCTGTAGTCCCAGTGACTTGGGAGGCTGAGGCAGAGGATCTAAAGTTTGAGTCCAATCTGGGCAATTTAGCAAGACCCTATCTCAAAAAATAAAAATTGGCTAGAGGTGAAGCTCAGTGGTAGAATGCTCCTGAATTGTCCCCCGTACAGCTGAGATATGAATAAGTAAATAAGGAAAGAAAGACTGACTTTTCCCACTCTGTTCTACCTCCTCCTTCCACATCTAATAAGAAATAATAGCCAGGCACAGTGGTGCATACCTGCAATCCCAGCCACTTGGGAGCCCAAGGCAAGAGAATCACAAGTTCAATGGCAAAATGAAAAAAAGGTGGCAAAAAAAAAAAGCCCTTAGTTCAATCTTTAAAAAAAGAAAGAATGAATGAATGGGATAACCAAATAGAAAATATTCCAGATTCCTCTTGGCAGCTCTTGAAATATAGCTTTTATTTTGATGTGGCCTGTATACCTGAAAGAGTTAGTCATGGAAAGCAAGAAGTTCTCTGGGAAGAAGAGTCAAGCAGATCAGGAATGTGTTGATTTATATGTGGGTGACTAAAGTTCCATTAGAATAAGTAAATGCCATTTACTTGATTGTGTTTTTCTATAGGTAGGGGTCCATGGGATTCGAATTGAATTCATCAATGAAAAAGGTGTCAAACGCACAGCCACATATTTACCTGAGGTTGCTAAGGAACAAGGTGAGTTGGACGAATGGGCATTTAGCAGTTAGCACCATTCACAGCTGTGCCAGCTCAAAGGCAGGAAAGTGAAGTGGGTCATCTTTTCAGCCCAACTGCCACTAAGAATGAATGCCTTTCTTCTTGATGCCTGTCAGATTCCTATAGGATAGGGGCATACTCCCAAAAAAGGTGCAGGAGCTGGGAAAAAGAAAAGGGGAGATGCTTTCCTCACTTACCTGCTTGTTTAAACACTTCCTTTGAAGTCAACCTGACCACATTATATAGAGTTCGTTATAAAGGGAAGTTGCCTGTATCAGTGGGTATTGAACTTTTGATCATGAGTCATTATTTATTTGTTAACTTGGCAAAGGGCAAAACATACATACTCCTTATTATTTTTAAAGAACTCAGTAGTTAATGAGTTCTTAAAATGGGAACATCAAAGGTAGGAAGTAGGTTGGGCAGGTTTTCTCTTTAAAAGAATATCTAGAAGAATGCCTTTAATTGTTGCTTGTGCTTTCTGTGATATGTAACCCAGTTTTCTTTCTTTCTTGGAATTAGTCTGTTTTTGAAAATAAAATGTGAAACACGGTATTGGTTGGGTGTGAACCTGGAATAGAGAAAAATATCCAGTTAAGTATATTAATGAACTAATTATACGGAAGCGATTGCCTTGTTGGTTACCATTGTGGTTGTGTTTAAATTTTTTTTTGAAAGCAATGGGGATGTGGCATTAAAAAGGAACCTTTTAACTACCTATGTGAGGACATAAGTCTAATACCCTCTGTATAAGGAGGCACACCAGAAGTGTTTTTTAGTAAGATTAGAATGATTAGGTAAATAATTAAAAGTTGATTGAGAAAATAAAAAATTGGGGATATCTTATATAGTAATTTGGGGGTTTTGTTTTTTAATTTGATGTATTTGGTTTTTGTCTGTTAAAAATTTTGCAAAAATAATTCAACAATGTATGTGTGAACAACTTTTCCATCCTTCCTAAGGGAACATTTTCCTTCCTGCTGCCAGTTCTCTTTCTTAGAAAATAGGACTCATAAAAATCATCAAACTGGCCAGGCGCAATAGCCCACGCCTGTAATCCCAGTGGTTTGGGAGGCTTAAACAAGAGGATTGCAGGTTCAAAGCCAGCCTCAGTGAGAGCGAGGCGCTAAGTAACTCAGTGAGACCCTGTCTCTAAACAAAATACAAAATAGGGCTGGAGATGTGGCTCAGTGGTTGAGTGTTCCTAAGTTAAATCCCTTGTATGCCCCCCACACCAAAAAAAAGAAATAGTTAAACTGAAGAAAGGCTACTCTGATAGGAATATAAGCTGCAAAATTTAAATCCCCCTTTCCTAATGGGCACAGTGATGTCCACCTGTAGTCCCAACTGCTTAGGAAGCTGGGGCAGGTAGATCACTTGAATCCGGGAGTTAAAGGCCAGCTTGGGCAACATAGTGAGACCCTGTCTCAAAACAAAAAGTCCTCCTCTTTCCATAAAGAGGCCCTAGTTACAAGCATGAGGCTAACAGCATGAGACTGAGTTTATTCCTTGATAGTTATGCTGGGGTAACCTGACAGGAAGGACTCAGAAGTAGGGTGTGTGGGAACAACCATTATGGCCATCCTGTATCAGAGTCTCCACTGGACAATTAGTGAAGCATATGGGGCTCTAAGTATATGGGCTAGTGCCCAGGGCTTCCTCTGCTCCAGCAGATTTGCTGCTTCTTGAACATGTTTGTCTTCTGCACTGGCCATATTTGAGTATGTCACACTCTTGTTTGGTTGTATACTGACCTCAGTGTGGCCTCTCTTTTCCTCAGACTGGGATCAGATTCAGACAATAGACTCCTTGCTCAGGAAAGGTGGCTTTAAGGCTCCAATTACCAGTGAATTCAGAAAAACGATCAAACTCACCAGGTAAGCCAATATCTTATTTTCCTTGCCATTTTCATGTAGTGGGGGTCGGGTAGAAGATACTTTTGGTGGAAAGGGGAAGAAAAAAGTGTTTTCTGCTAATATCCCTAAACCAAAGATGAATGAGTGAGGTTGATGCTCTCGGGAAGCAGTAGCAATAAAGACAGAGACTCCTCCAGCATTCTGTGTGTCTCTGTAGCTAAGCTGATTGTGGGGTTGGGAAATAGTTCAGGCTCAAGCAAGTTCAGGGTATCTGTTTGGTCCCACATGGTTGGGAGGCTGAAGTTAGGAGAGAAGGCTCCCAGTGTATAGTAGTCCAAGGCCAGCTGAGGGGTTACTTCTTATCCACTCATGCAGTCAGATGGCTGGGGATGCAAAAGAGTCAGAAACGCTTTTCACAAAGAGTTAAAAGGATGCCCCTTTTGGGAACAGTATTTCTATGTACTTCTGCGGGGAGGCTGCCTAGTTTAGAATGCATGTCTTGGGGTCTGAATCCCAGCTCAACCACTTACTAGCTATGTGACCTGGGCCAGTTATTCCACCTCTCTCAGCCTGTTTCCTGTCTGTAAGATGTGAATGATAATTCTGTAGGATTGTTTTAGGATGTGGTAAGGTAATGTATGGAGAATTTCTAGCCCAGGGTCAGGCAACATTATAGGTGATCAATAGATGTCAGTTCTCTTCCCGTCCTTATTGTAATTGGAAGCACTGACAGGTTTAGCGTCTAAGGGCCTCTGTTGGGCCCCTAATTTGTATAATGCTGAATAATCATGCTAGCCTCACAGGTTTGGAAGATAACCCAGAGTTTTTTTAAATGCCTTGGATTCCAGAAATTAAGGGGCTGGGGGCATAGCTCAGTGGTAGAGCACATGCTTAGCATGTGCAAGGCCCTGGGTTCAATCCCCAGCACCAAAAAATAAAAATAAATAAATTAAAAAAAAAAAACACTCTTCAAATACAAAGCATTATTACTATTATTATTACAATTTATTTGAACAGCCATTTCCCTGTCAAAATTCAGGAATAATCACCTTGCAGTGGAGGAGTGATTACAGTGGGAAAGAGATGGCTCTGGGTAAGGATTGTCACACCCAGCTCCTGTGGTCTGTAGTAGGCTCCATAGGTTTGTAACACCCCATGCTTCGCATCTTGACTCATGGCTCTTTCCAGAGCAAAGCCAAAGTGCTATGAATTCTGTTCTGATAACCCTGTGATATGGCATATTCATCTGGGGATTGAGACCTGTCCCATATAGCCCAAGGATCCTTTAATCTGCTTCACCAGAATTTGACCCAGAATTAGGTAATTGTGCCCCTTTTAGTTATAACTTGTTTGTTGCTCTTCTGCAAATTGAGGTTGCACTTCTGTCCAATTGATCTCATTTTAACATGAAAGTAGATATGCAGTTTACACTGGATTTTGGTGCAGCCGTCTTCCAATCTACCACCCATGTAATTTGATCTTGAAATTCTTCATTCAGACCCCAGCAGCAAATTGCTTACAAGCAGCCTGATGATAAGCTTATGTAGCGTTTAAAGGTGGGATGTGCTGAAGTACATTCTCAGGGGTGAATTGTGATTGTGCTTTTTCATCTTGTTCATTTGTAATAACAACATTGTTTTCTTGTGCCGTCTTTCATTTTCTGTAAGTAAGATTGCTCTTGGTCTTCCATTTTATTCTTTCAAAATGTGGAATAAGCTTTTGGTTTTCTCTGCTGAGTGATTTTACAAAAGGAGTTGTTTGGAGTTCCTAATACCCTTGCCTGTTTCCTTATACAGGTACCGAAGTGAGAAGGTGACAATCAGTTACGCAGAGTATATTGCTTCTCGACAGCACTGTTTCCAGAATGGCACTCTTCATGCCCCGCCCCTCTACAATCATTACTCCTGACACACGGCTGCATGACCAGTCCCACCCCCCTGTGGCCACCAATGGCTATGACATCATTGGAGCAGATGCCTCCTCTTCCTGGTCCAGTTACTTCTATTACTGCACCATTTTATGATGCTAGCTTCCGTTGCCAAGTCTGCCCCCCACTGACTGAGGGGGTGTGGGGTTAATTGAATGAAACAGAACTTGAGGGGCCCAAGCCTTATCTCAGCCTTTCCTCAATATGGGGTTCCGTTGGATTGGGGCTCCTCCATGACTAGTGAAAATTACTGTGTGGGTTCAGAAGACCCTGGTCTGGTGATTTGCCGCATGTGTTATTGGTCACACCCTGGAAGTCGGAATTGATGATCCATGGAGGCTTACCCCACACACACCCCCACAGCCTCCCCAGATCAATAGGTGTATTCCCCTGGCAGTCTGGGCAACGGAGACCAACAAGAAACATTTTTAGGTTGTTTTAAATTCCTTTTTTTAAACTTCCAGTTTATTGCATACCAAGAGTTGATCACAACCTCCATGCTTCGTAAGTGGACGCCATATTAGGGTTGAGCATGGGCACCACGAGTCCTTTGAGGCTCCTGGATAGAGACCCATATCAAGATCGGAAGCCCTTTGGATGGCGTTGCAGATCCCATTGCTCAATAAGTCGTGAAGGTTTTAATTCTCATCCCACTCTCAGTTGGATTTTCCGGCACTCTCCCTGCATCAAGTCTGCTGGTATTGAACAGAGCTCTGTGATGTAGCCTGCTGAGGAATGGAGTGGAGATGTCCCTGGAGGTCCCGGTGTCATCACTTCGTGCAGGCATGAAAGGAGAGACCTCTTCCTCACCACCTGGCTACCTCACTCCTCTATTGGTAGCAGTGCCTACACAGCTGGATGTAGGTTCTTGGAAGCATAGATGTGCAAACAGGCAATGGGTTTGGGGCTGTCAGAGGGCACATTGTCATAGGAGAGAATCCAGGGTCTCTGAGTGGTTTTCTTTTCAGGCAGACATCCCGAGGGACTTTTAAGCAGTGGAGTTCCTTTTTCTAGTTTGCCTGAAGTGGGAAGACTGTTGGTGTTTCAGTCCTTTATAGGACTCTAGAACAAAGCTGTGTAATTAAACAAGGTGAATCTTTAATCTTGCCTACTATGGGAATCTTCAACCCAGGAGGGCAAATTTCCAAACCACTCATTTTTTTCTGGGTCATTTAAACTTCCATGTGACATTTCCCTTTCCTATTGCTGATTTTCAAATAGCCATCAGCAAGTTTTCCTCCCCCTTGCCTCTTCACTTATTTGGTGGCAAAATTCATAGAACTTGGGAGATTCTTTGAATGCATTGTCGCAAAGGCACTGCTAAAGTGATTTACAGGAAGAGGTGGCCAGCTGGAAAAAAGGATCCTGAGGACTATACACTGGTATTCAACAACATGCTTAGAGAACTCTTAAATGGATTGGGTGTCAACCCAGTGAACACATGTTTTGATTTAATTTATTTTTTTAAGAGTTTATGTGGTGATGGTGTGGCTTTCCAAAAAAGGTGACTATTCAAGTCCTTCTGCCAGGAATAGGGGAGGGGGAGCAGGGGCACAATCTAAGAAGGGATGTTGTTCAAGGCATCACCTTTGAGTTCCTGGGCAGGAATGGGTAAGGGAGCAGGTTTGTGCTGCTGGCAAGGACCTGGAATATGTGGGGAAGACATGGGGGACATCAGGGTGCCCAAGCTGCTTTCCCCTCACTGCTGTGCTAGGTTCCCATGGCCTATCACATTCCCCCTGCAATGTAAATGAAGGGTAAGGGTTTGGTTTATGATTTCCTACTGCTGAGGATAATAAATGTCTTGTTACAAACAGATGTGATGACAGTTACTCTTAGGTGCCATGGATTGATGTCAGGGTGGTCAGCTCTGGACTAAGCCACCCACCTCCAGTTTGTACAACAGTATTGATACATAGGGCTACACTCATTACTGTTCAAGTGTTCTATGTTAAAAGTTGTGTTTAATTTCTAAAGATTTAAAAAAAGCAAAAAAAATTGGTGCTAAACTTTCACCCCTGAGACTGGTCATGCAAGCATTTACAGTGCCATGCTCCTCAAGCCTATTTTTCTTGTAGAAATGTTGCCCTATTTGTCTTCCCCAATGTATAATATGAATTTTATTTTATTTTATTTTATTGAGGGTAGGATAGGATACCTGCCATTTAAGAAAATGAACAGAAAATTTAAAAACCCAAGAAATGGGGAAAAAAATCAGTGCACAAGAATCAGGCTGGTGAAGCCCAGCATCACACTGAAGTGGGCTCAGTGGTTTCTGGAGTGAAGAAGCCTTACTCCCTGAACATTCCCTCATGCACCCAAAGAAGTCCAGCAATGGGAAAGCTAGGTTCCTCTTGCCTTGTCAAGGGAACTTGAGAGTTGGCCAAGGGAAACTGTAGTGTCCTGTAAGGAATGGACACTGCTGGTGTCCATCTGGATGGGGAGCTAGTCAGGAAGCGGTCTGGAAGTGTATGGGTCAGGATGGCCTCATGGAAATCTGTGGCAGGTGGCTTTCAGGAAAATAGACTTAGTCTGGGTCATCCACATGGCAGCTTTGCATAGGGAGGTGGACAGCTCCAAATGAATTGAACTGCCTTCCACACGTTTGACCAAAGCAGTGAAGAGGGTGGCCAGTACCTACGAGTACGTGGGTGGTAGAGAAGAGGGAGTGTTTCCTGCCCAGTGTTTCCTTTGTCCTTGGGCTGCTGGAGCTGAATAGCATGGTAACCACTGTTAACGGAACCAGCTGGACTTCACCGGCTTGGTTCAGAGTTTGTTTCATCCCTAGCTGTGAGTGCCTTTTGGTCTGGAAAGTTGGCTTGTCTCATAATACCCACAGCTAGGACATTCTCTGTAATTATGAATTGTCCTTATTTTACATTGAAAGAGGATGTCTGATCATTAGAGTTTGTCAGTGTTGGATTGTTTCCACTGTGAGGTTCTTAAACTTTTTCGCTTATAATATTAAAACAACTCATGTTAGAGACCCTTTCCACATGAAAGGTTTGTAGTTGAAATGTTATATATATTTTACTGTTTATAATAAAAATCATCTATACAAATGAAGTCTTGGGTGTTAATTTTTGCACAAGATATGTTTTCCATGATATGTTAACATCTACAATTTCACTAACTGTTAATGTTATTTTCTATTGAGATTTCTGGAGCCTAGGGAGCTATCTGTTCTGTTTGTTTATTTTCGTTCTTATTTCCCTAAAGCAAGAGACTGTATGGCCTTCAGTGCAAAGACTTCAGACCAATTCTTTGTATTACACTTGGTTGCCTCTTGGCTATATAACTTCTGAGTGCAAATCATTGAACTCTTTAATGAAGTATTGTAGAGAATAAATCATAATGGGTAAAAATTGTTCTTTGCCTCTGTTTTTGTAACCAGGTGTGTTATTCAGCTGTAACAAAATGCCTGATATAATCAACCAGTTAAGTCCCGGATTTTCAAGCCTGCAAATATTACAACAAAATTGACACAGATTGCATTAGAATAGGTTGGAAATTATAATTGAGAGCTTATATATTCTTTATTATTAGCAAATACAAACCGTCCTGTAAATAGGGTACTGGGATAATACAGTACCTGTTAATTGAAATACAGTGACTGGAATTCCTTGAAATAAAATGACAGCCTAGTTCTAGAAAACATTTTCATGAATGCATTTCTTATATTAAGTATCAGTTATGTACATAATATTTAGAAGTAACTTATGCAGCAAAGTTTGTACCATTTTATACTCTTGAACACTAATAATTAACATTTTTCCAGGCATGATAGTACATGCCTGTAATCCCAGTAGCTTGGGAGCCTGAGACAGGAGGATCACCAGTTGAAAGCCAGCCTTAGCAATTTAGCTAGGCTATAAGCAACCTAGTGAGACCCTGTCTCAAAAAATGGCTGGAGACTTGGCTCAGTGGTTAAGTGCGCCTGGGTTCAGTCCCTGGTACCTGCCCGCACCCCCCCCCCCCCCCGCCCCCGCCAATTACCTACCTATTTTCCCCAAACAATAGTGCTAAAAGAAATAGTTTTAGCATTACCATAAGGAGTGTATTCTTTGCTCATTTTAAGATTTTGTTTTGTTTTGACTGGGGATTGAACCCAGGGTCGCTTCCTAAGATTCTGAGGTTGGCTTCAGTTCTGTAATTCTGCTTCAGCCACCTGAGTTGCTGGGAATATAGGCATGTTCCACTTGCCCAGCTTCATTTTAAGTGTTTATAGGTGTTCCATATCTCGGCAGATGGAACAAAATGAATTGAAGGAGTTAGGTTAATTTGGCTCATGGTTTTGAGAGGTTTCAGACCATGGTCAATTGGCTTCATTGCTTTGAGGTCTGTGGGGAGGCAGAAACATCATGGCAAAGGGGTGCAGCTCAACGAAGCCGCTTTTACTCCACAGCAGCTAGGAAGCAGATGAATAAGATACATAGTAAAACAGGCAGACAGTTAAGGAAATGAACCCCATGAAGTCTTCTCTAAATGTAAAGAACACTCCATGAAATTAACCTGCAGAAGGATTCCAAACATTCCAGCCAACTCCTTTGTCCTAGGGCAGCAGAAAATGGGAGGCAGGACAGACTGAGGAAAGGCTACCAATTCAAGAGCTAACCCAAATCCTTAACATTTTTCCAATATCTGTTTAGCATAAACTTTGACCAGTAAATAGCTTTGGCACTTTTCCAATACCTGATTAGCATAGATATTGAACAATAATCTTGGCACTTTTTCAATACCTGGTTAGCACAGATTTTGACCAATATCCTTAGCACTTTTCTGGGACTTAATTAGCATAGATATTGATCAGTGCTCTTACCCAGTAGCCATATAAACCCCAAGACTTCTACACTTAAGTGGCAACTGCTTTTGGGTTCCTTCTTGCTCTGCGGGAGCAGAGTATTGCTGCAAACCTCACCTGTCTGCCAGTGTCTCACTTGAATAAATCCTTCTCACTTGAATAAATCCTCACTTGAATAATTTTGCCTGGTGTGGTAGTGCACACCTGTGATCACAGTGGCTCAGGAGGCTAAGACAGGAGGATCCAGAGTTCAAAGTCAGCCTCAGCAACTCGGCAAGATTTGTCTTAAATATAAAAAGGGCAGGGGACATGGCTCAGTGGTAAAGTGACCCTGGGTTCAATCCTTGTACCAAAATCAATCATCCAACCAATCAATCAATCAATACTACCCTTACACTTACTCTTTCTTGTCCATAGATTTTATTCTTCGAATTCGCAAGACAAGAACTGGGAAAGAAGACACTGGCAGACAGGTGAGGTTTGCAGCAATACTCTAGCAGCAGAGGCTGAAAATCCAGTTTCACAGAGACAAGATATAGTCCCCAAGGGCACCCTCCTCCCACTCCCTTCAACTAGGTCCTACCTACAGTTTCTACCACTTCCCAATAGGCCATTCAGCTATGAATCCATTAATGAATCCATTGAAGAAATGAAAGCTTTGCTGACCCTCTCACTTCTCAAAAGGCCCACCTCCTAACATTGTTACACTGGGGAACAAGCACTTTAAACACATAAGGCTTTGGGGTACATTGCAGATCCAATCATAATACCAGATGACTTGAATTATCTCAATAGTGTAGAGTTATCTTATTTTTGGACAGCCAGATAATAGCCTGTGTATTTTTTTATAACTTTAATTATTTTTATGTAGTTCTGAGGATTGAACCCAGGATTGAACCTGCTAGGCAAGCACATTACTACTGAGCCACAACTCCAGGCCCTGTGCCACCGGTGTCCCCAATGCAGATGACCCCTAATTACCTTGCACTTTATTATTTTTGCGATTGGTAATAATGCCACTGATTTTGTAGTTTCCTGAGCCATCATTCATGAACCCTTTAAATTTGGGTTTTTTAGTCAGGTGCAGAGGTGTACACCTGTAATCCCAGTGACTTGGGAGCCTGAGACAGGAGGATCTTGAGTTAAAACCAGCCTGAGAAACTTAGTGAGACCCTGTCTCAAAATAAAAAATTAAAAGAGCTGGCATGTATCTCAGTAATTAAGTGTCCCTGGGTTCAATCCCTGGTACCAAAAATAAATAAATTTGGTTTTTCCATAAAGAAGATTTTTTTGCTTTCATTAAATTTTTCAATTGTTCACCAACTCCAATTCTGAATCAAATTAAACTTATACTTTTGTACACAAGAGCTGTCCAGGATGTGTCTCTCCCAAACCCAGGCTAGAGATTATCTTTTGAAATGTTAAATAAACCTTGGAGAAGAGGTCAGACCTTGACAGAAAAGCTAAAAACTCCTCAAAAAACAAACAAATAACAACAACAACAAAGCCCATTCATTAAAACATTTTTTTTTTAAAGAGAGTGTGTGTGTGTGTGTGGGAGAGAGAGAGAGAGACAGAGACAGAGACAGAGACAGAGACAGAGAGAGAGAGAGAATTTTTTTAATATTTATTTTTTAGTTCTCGGCGGACACAACATCTTTGTTTGTATGTGGTGCTGAGGGATCGAACCTGGGCCGCACGCATGCCAGGCAACCACGCTACCGCTTGAGCCACATCCCCAGCCCCATTAAAACATTTGATGATATTAATTAATTCAAGTGAAGACCCTTGGGAGATATTAGTGTGATCTAACCTTATTGAAAAGTTTACTGTTCTTGGACAACCTAGGACAGATGTTTTGAGAAAATAGCAGAGTCATTTAATCAGACACAAGCACTCACATTTGGGAATTGTCAGTCTTCAACTTAAATTGTTCCTTACAAAGAGGTGAATTGTTTTTTTCATTTTCTTTCTTTTTTTGAGACCTAGTTCTGAGGCCCTTACTCTTGGCAAAACTCAAACACATGGCCACAGTTAAACATGCTCAAGCGGTATCGCGCTCGCCTGGCATGCATGCGGCCAGGGTTCCATCCTCAGCACCACATACAAAGATGTTGTGTCCGCCGAAAACTAAAAAAATAAATATTTAAAAATTCCCCCCCCCCCTTTAAAAAAAAAACAAACATGCTGCCTAAAGGACATGGAAGATAACATCCCCACAGATAGCCACCCCCACCCCTGCAGGAAGAAAGGAGGACAGTGTGACCAGGGAGGAGGGAAGCAGGAGAGAAGGCAAAATTAATCCTATCCAATACAGGAAGGGAGAAGGCAAATACTGAGCACTGGGCCTTTGACTTTCACCCTTTCCCATTGTCCAAGAGTCCTAGAATGAGAAAAGCAAATAGGGAAGCTCTGGGTAACAGTAGATCCTGGAGGAAGAAGATAAGCAATAAGCACGCTGGGGGCTGGGGATGTGGCTCAAGCAGTAGCGCGCTTGCCTGGCATGCACGCGGCCCCAGTTCGATCCTCAGCACCACATACAAACAAAGACGTTGTGTCCACAGAGAACTAAAATAAATAAATAAATAAATAAATATTAAAATTCTAAAAATAAATAAATAAATAAATAAGCACGCTGTTCTGGGTTTTCATCCCTTCCCAGTAACAATGAGTTTTGTAATTTTACAACGTTTTTCCTAACTTCCCAAACTGGCACATTCTATTTAAGTCTCCAATAATGAATTGTAATCTATAAAACACAAGCCCCTTCTACCCCAAAAATGAATCCCTCCAATGCCTGACTGATTGACTCTGCGACTTAATAAATGGCATCGCTGAATCTGTTGAGGTCTGCTCCTGTCTTGGTTATTTGTGCTTATACTGCCAGGGTTAGATGATAATTTTGGAAACAGACAACAAGAAGCTGGTTAAACTGTTAAACCACCATGCAAAGAAAAGACCACTGACTCCAATTTTGAATCAAATTAAAGCAAACTTATACTTGTGTACACAAGAGTTACCCAGGACTGTCATTCTTGAGACAGTCCAGGCTAGAGATTGTCTTTTGAAATGTTAAATAAACCTTGAAGAAGAGGTCAGTGGCTGAGATTCTTATAGGAGTGAGGGAAGGCGAGGTGCTTTAAAGCTGCTTCCAAATCAATTTAGGGCCTATGACCTTACTGGTTTTGAAATACTATTTACTGAATTGGTTGAAAGATTTGACTCTAGCTGGGCACGTGACACATGCCTGTAATCCCAGGCCTTGGGAGGCTGAGGCAGGATGATTGCAAGTTCAAAGTCAGCCTCAGCATTTGCAAGGCACTAAGCAACTAAGTGAGACCCTGTCTCTAAATAAAATACAAAATTGGGCTGGGGAGTTGGCTCAGTGGTGGAGTGCCCCTAAGTTCGATTCCTGGTAACACCCCCCCAGCCCACCAAAAAAAAAGATTTGACTCTGAACCAATACTGAACAAATAAAACTGTCCTGAAGAACATAATACAACTCCCTTCACTATACATACTGCTTCTGTAATGCCAGATTCGTGGAACCCCAATAGACCTCCAGGA